GAGATATAGGAGGTTGGTTGGCAAATTGAATTACCTCACAGTGACTAGACCTGACATTTCTTTGCCGGTGAGTGTTGTAAGTCAGTTTATGGATTCTCCCTGTGATAGTCACTCGGATGCCGTTGTTCGCATTCTTCGGTATATAAAGTCAGCTCCAGGCAAAGGATTACTATTCGAGGATCGAGGCCACGAGCAAATTGTTGGGTACACAAATGCTGATTGGGTNNCTTCATATTGCGTCAAATCCGGTGTTCCATGAGAGGACTAAACACATTGAGATCGACTGTCACTTTGTCAGAGAAAAAACACTTTCAGGAGATATTGTTACAAAGTTTGTAAAGTCGAATGATCAACTAGCAGATATTTTCACTAGGTCTCTTAGTGGTTCTCATATTAGTTACATGTGTAACAAGCTCGGTACATATGATGTTTATGCACCGGCTTGAGGGGGAGTGTTAGTTTATAGATATGTATAGTGTAGTCTTGTCCCACATTGGAAGAAAGTAATATCTCCTTGTAGCGTATAGCTATAAATAGGGACCTCTTGTATTGTATTTATTATCCAATATCAATAACATATTTTCTCCCGTGCCTTCTCACAAAGCAAATCCAAAGAAATATGGAATGGAGTTCTGGAAAGATGTGAGAAAAAGTTAGTCAGATGGAAAGCACAATACATTTCTTTGGGAGGTAGACTAATTCTTATTAACTTTGTGTTAGACGCTCTCCCAACATACATGATGTCCCTATTCCCTTTACCTGCAAGTGTAGAAAGGAGAATGGAAGTCATGAGAAGGAATTTCCTATGGCAAGGAAATAAAGAGAAGAAAGGATTTCACTTAGTTAAATGGAAAAAGTTGACCATTAGTAAACAAGAAGGGGGTTTGGGAATCAGAAATCTGAGAAGGCAAAACAAATGTCTATTAATGAAGTGGTTATAGAGGTTTACAAGGGAAGAGCAAACACTATGGGGAAAGGCGATAAAGAGCGAAGTATGGAAAAGAAGGCCTCTGGATGACTAGGGAGGTGAAGAATCCTTATGGAACCAGTTTATGGAGATCAATTAGGAACATGTGGCCAAGTCTTTCATCCAAACTGAATTTTAATGTGAGGGATGGAAGGAAAATATTATTCTAGAAGGATAACTGGCTGGGAATAGGATGCTTGAAGGTTTTATTCCCTGACATTTTTACATTGAATCAGCAACAAAAAGCTACAGTGAAGGATGTATGGGGGATTCAGGGATGGAACTTAACATTCAGAAGACTACTTCAAGATTGGGAACTGCCTAGAATTGCAGAATTCTATAACACTTTGGATCAAGGCAGAGGATTGCAAGAGGGGGAAGACACTCTTTCATGGAAGAAGCACATCAGTGGAAGTTATACAGTAAGTTCAGCCTACAAAGATTTGAATCAGTTGTCTCAAAACAGTTTATGGCCTTCGAAACACATATGGAAAGTTAAAATACCATACAAAGTGGCATGCTTTACTTGGTTGGTGGCTAAAGAAGCAGTACTTACTCAGAAAAATCCTAGGAAAAGAGGATTGCCAATTTGTTCTAAATGCTATTTATGTGGACAAGATGCAGAGACAATTGGCCATCTGTTTCTACATTGTAGAGTGACCAGATAGTTGTGGGAATTGTTCATCAACCTAAGGGGTATTAGGTGGACAATGCCAGGAAGAACCTTTGAACTTCTGGAAAGTTGGAATACAGGGAGAAATTCTACCTCTAACAAAGACAGATGAAAAATTGTCCCAGCAGCTATTTGGTGGACAGTATGAAAGGAGAGGAATGCAAGATGCTTTGAAGATACAAGCAGCCCTACACAGAAGATTAAGATGAATTGTATTCTTCTTTTTAGTTATTGGTGTAAATTAGAATATATTGATGACCATGATTCAATCATAGAAGTCTTAGGCTCTTTGTGAGAAGAACAAGGATGTTACGCTTTTGGTTTTTGCCTAAAGTTCTCCATGATGTACATTTTGGCTCCCAGCACAATTTTTGTGCTGATGATTTAATTAGTATAATAGATATGTTACCTTTTCAAAAAAAAAAATGAATGTTTCATGTTCCCACCGAGAGGATATTTGCCAACTTTATCCACCGGACAATAAAATTTCCTGGCATCTAGGATGGAAACAGTGTCCCTGGCACCAATCCAAGCATATGAGATCTTTTGAAGCAGTACCACGTGAGCAGATCAAAGCAATGGAGAAAAGTCTAAGCATCCGGGATGATAATTTTGTCTTTTTTCTCCTGTTTGGGGCAAAGTAAAATTGTATTTCGACACGCACCATAAGGGAAATCATACAACGTACATATCCATCACAAGTGAAGAAAACCCAAGACCAGAAAAATTCACAACCAAGCAACAAACCTAGACCAAAACAGACTGTACGTCCACTACAAGATTGGATAACGAAAATCTAAAAGAGAAGTATAATGGTAATCCTACAATAAAATAACTGACGGAATATTTCAATGTTTAAGTTGGTGCTCATAGACAGTGCCCACTACTTCAGATTCATGACCAAAAATAAAAATAAAAATAATAAAGTTACTATTACCAAGCAAGAAGGCAGAGTAGATAACAAATATTTCAAGAGCACAAATTATTGGAAATGGTATGTCCTACAGCAGTGATAGCATAAGTAAACTTTACATACTTGCAAAAGCAACATATCTTCTTCCCTTTCAATCTTCACCACCACCTTCACCTGTCCACACATCTCCCATCTGCATAGACAAATTTCACGATAAATAACACTTACTATACCAACCTAACTTGATATGTCTCTTAAAAATTACCTGTTTAAAGCTTTTGGCGCCCTATTATGGAGCTTTTTGTAGAGACCTAAAGTTGCATGACTAACCAACCATATACCAATTCAACCAAAAGTTAGAAAAAAATTAGTGGAACACAGCCAATAAATGTAGGAACACCAATTTGTATTTGTACTCAGAAACACCCAAATGAAAGAGAAACTTTAAAACACAACAAAACTACAGGGTGCTGACATTTCAGGAGGCTTTCATGCACTGAAACATCAAACGTCAACAAATAAGAATAAGTGACTTTGATTCGAGATGGAATCATCTGTTTGGACAGACATGCACAATCACCTTGTGGTTTTCAAATACAACAACAACGACCCAGTAAAATCCCACTAGTGGGGGCTGGGGAGGGTAGTGTGTACGCAGACCTTACCCCTACCCCGAAAAGCAGAGAGGTTGTTTCCGAAAGACCCTCGACTCAAGAAGACGAAAAGAGACAATATCAGTACCACCAACAGATACCATAAGAAAAAATAACAACATCATGAAAACCAGAAAATAGATGCAAAGCAAAAGCGATAGCCAGTAAATAGACCCGGCACTATGAATGTGGTTTTCAAATAATGCAGATTAATTTTCTCAAAGATGCACTTACACATGAAAGTTATCTAAATAACTTATAAAGATACCTATATACCAGCAAAGGCGGCAAGAATGAATCAATTACCTGCATTGTGCGGCTATTTTCCCTTTCCCCATCTTCAAGTCATTCCTGACTACCAAAACCTGCACACAATTAGAAATTATGGTTCATCCTTAATCTTCTAACATACAACATACCTTCGCTCGTAGTAAATTGATTTGGCACAAACATAAACATGGAGAAAGAAGAGAAGAGACCATTTTGAAATCTTCAAGGATCTCGGCCAGTCTTTCAACTTCAAGAGGTGGCTTGACCCCTTTTTTCTTTTTCCCATCAACTAGAGTTTCAGTGCCACCAGATGCTTTGTTTGATAGAGAAGTGCGAGAAGAGTGGCGCACACCAATAATATAACCCAAAGCAAGACATCCTGCCCCAAGTATTATGGCGCTAAGCCATGCCATGTCTATCATATTCAAAATTGAAGACAGTAACGTTCTGGTATTTAAGGTCCAATAGATATCAAGCTGATGACCAATGCGTCTGTTCTTGCGCCCACTCACCTAAAAAATGCAACGTTTAGTTAACTGTACAATTCAAAGTGTTACTCTTACTGCAAAGTCAACTTCTAGTATCAGGCAGCGAGCAGAACAAAAGCTTTTTTTTCTCTTTAAATTAAGTATTTAACCTGAAAAATAAACTACATGTCACCTACTTTTATGCCCAACCAAACTGGAAAATGATACAGAAAAAATGATGGTCAAAGTAAGCAATTTCACGTGGAAAACATTTTCCTCCAACCAAAACACACAAAGATTGAACTTTATATTTTGTTAAACGATGTTGTCAAATCTACCATGAATAAATTATCGATCCTCCTAATTATTGATTCTCAGCCCAGATACACATCCAATGAAAGATTTGCTGAGTTACTTCCGAGATTTGATACAAAGAACAAGTGTACCTGTAAAGTGCAGGAAACAAAGCTGCATTGATAGGCTAATCGATTGATCGGAGAGCTCTAGGCTGAGCTCTAGAGTTCGGTTGGAAGAAGGAAACAGCCAATGCGGTTGTTATGGTTCCGTAGCCAAGCCCCAGGTATTACAGCATTGGCAGTAAGCCCGTTTCCGGGAAGTAAAGCCCAATAAAACCCATTATCTCATAATTTAATTCATAGCTGCAAAACTATCGGTCTCTTTTTTTTTTTTTTTTGGGAGTTATGTCCATTTATAATAAATGTAGGTCATTATCAAAATTGGCCAATTCATAAAATATTATTAATATTAGTCAAATATTACTAATATTAGCCAATTAGTTATTTATAGCAAAAAAAGTTAAATTTTTGCTTTCTTTTGAGTGGGTGTTATTAGAATAGATTAGGTACATCTTAAGGAGCTTGAATCTAAGTTTTGGGATGATTTGGTAAAGTTTTGAGGTGGTTTGAATAGAAAATTCGATGTAAAAACTAAACATGAAAAATGATGTGTATCACACTGTATATCATTTGTGTATCATATATGTATCATATTTGTATCAGTTGTGTATCACATTTATACCTATGTGTGAGATACATGTGTCGCAGAAGCGTTTTTGAACTCGATTTAATTATGAATTTTGATACAAAACCACTCCTAATCACCTCTAATCTTCCTCAAATTTTGTATATTGACTTATCTATATGTTTTCTATTAATTTCAACTATAGCCATTGAAAAAGTTCCTTTTTTGCTTAGATTTTTGGAATATTGTATTTTATTTTGTATTTTATCACCTTATTTGCTACCTCATCCATGAAATTTCCATTCTGTCTTGCATCTAATGTTGTTAATCACGTTTAAAAATATGAAAGGAGATTTTTACATGTGATTCTTTGAGAGAAAGAGCCTTATTTATTTGGTTTTTTATTTTTTATATGTGGTTGGCTAGTTTTGGTGAGTCTATGACTAATGGCTATAGGTTGGTAAGTTAAGACTTATTTGGGACATTTGTGTAAGTTCTCCCTCTTTTTTTGTTTCTTTTTTTCGTGAGAAAAGGACGATAAGAGCCTATTTTAAAAACTTTATGATCAAAACGTTATAAATAAAATATACCATGATTTAAATATTGGTATATCACATAGTTAATGTTGTCTAATGGGACGGAATGGGATGATTTTAGCAGGACGAGACGGACGATTTCTTAACAGGATTAAGGGAACCGAGACGTTAGCGGGACGAACCCCTAGGCCCATCCCATCCCACTAACTAACGGGGCGAAATGAGACGAAACGGAACGAGACGAGACGAGATGGAAGCCCTTCGTGGGATTTTTTTAAATTTTTATTAAGTTAAATATATTTAAAAAAATTATAATTGCAATGGCTAAGTTTTTAAAATTAGCGACGACTAGTTTTCTAATAAACTTCAAACTTAATAAATTATAAAAACTCTAATTAAGAAAAAAGAAAATGTAAAAAAAAAACTGTAGCAAAATATTTTAGTATATATAAATTTTTTAAGTACTTAAAAAAATACTTGTAGTTTATTTAACATATTTCCAAGTATGTACTACTATGAAGTAACTAAGTAAGACAATCCTTAAGAAAATTCAAGGCTTAAAGCCTTTTAGTTTATCTAATTAAAATTTTAAATTTAATACACAAATACAAGTCTTTTGAAAAGCACCTAATCACCACCTTCTAGAAAAGATTCCGGTTAAATTAGGCCTCTAAGTAGATAATTACAAATTATCATGCTAATGTCTATACTTTCCTATATAGCTTCTTTCTAACTTTCGTATAATATCAAAGGGAAGCTCCTCTAGAACTGGCAATGTAGCTTGATGTTCCATGAGTTTCATGTCATCATCGCTTTCAGTGCAAAGTTCTCATTGTAGTCTTCTTCTTCCTTAGTGGTTAATTTTGTTAGGCCAAATTTCTTCTTTCTGCATTGATCCAATCTTTGAAAAAGAACGAAAATCTCTAGGCTGTCCTCCACGAATAAATATTTGTGGTCTCCGATTTGAAATCTTGTCATGCTAAAAGCACACTTCAAAGCTATTGATGACTCTTGAAAAGCCAGTACATCTCTCGAGCCATTCTTCAAAGTATTCGAATTACCTTGTCATGCCCCCTCAACCATGCTAAAAGCTGCTCTTTGCCTTCTTCATCTTTAATAGATTCTAATCCCTGATTAATAGAAACATTAAGTTTATTTCCAATACCAGTTGAATCACGATCTCCATACCTTCCTACACTTTATCTTTTACTCTAGCCTTAGATGTACACTGTCTAGAGTTGCCATATTTTTATACTTATCAAACATTAATTTGGCATGAACATATATGTTAGCTTGGTATTCTTCGACAGTTGGCATTTTAGTTTTTGAAATTTCTAATTTCTCATAAATTTTATGAACACGTTCTTTTGCACCTCGTAATTTTAAAGATGGGTCAAGTATAGTAAAAATTAAATAAATAGTGAGAAATTTAAAAAATATTTTTTTAATTTCTAAATTATTTCTTCAACGGCTCGTGTATATGCATCTAATCTTATACTTAGCAAATACAGCTAAAATTCCACAAATATACTACAATAGTTGTGTAATAGTGGGACAATATATACCAAAAAATTATTTTGTAGCATAATAAATTTTTTTAAGAATTTAGTAAGCTTGTGAATTTCTTTCCAATCAGACTCGATAATTTAATTAATAGGGATAGCATTATATGCATTATATATCATTTGTATATGCAGCCGATAGATATAAGCAACTTTTAGCATTTCGTAAGTAGAATGTCACCTAGTACAAACATCTTTTGGAACTTTTCTATATGAAAGTTCAACATAGACACATCGCTCTTTAAATTCACAAATTCTACTCGCTTTATTAGCATGAAAGATATATGCACAAGCATATTTTATTTTAGCACAAAAAGCGGCAAATAAATCGATACTAGCTTTGATGACCAAATTAGATATATGACATGCACATCTAACATAGAAAATTGAGTCATAAAGTTGGAAAATTCTAACTTTTAAGTTATTTGCTGCAATAATATTAGCAGGAGAATTATTTAATGTGATAGTTAAAAATTTGTTAATAAGACCATAAAATTGAACAATTTCTAAAACAGTAGAAGCAATATATGCTCCAGTGTATTTTGAATCAACAAATTCATAAGCAATAATATATTTTTTCACGCTTTAGTTATAATCATCCAATGATATGTAACAATTAAATGATCGCCATTAGGACTACGATCTATATCAGAATGAAAGATACTTTATATTCTAAGTGGTAAAATATACAAGGTATATACTGAGATAGTCATTTTGAAATTAAAATATATCATTTCTACTGTGGTTATAGGAAAACCTTGAAAAATACATGTCTGTCATTTTGAGCTCTAGCACGTTGTTCGGCAGTTTGAGACCTTGAGTAGCTTCACTTCATGCATTATGACTTGCACGTGTAGTCAGATTAGATTTTCGAGAAGATCAGAGTTGGTTTGGAAGAATGTTTCTCGATTCGGAAGCTTTAAGTTGGAAGAGTTGACCAAGGTTTGAATTTTGAGTATATGACCTCGGATCAGAGTTTTGACAGTTCTGTTATGTCCAAATGATGATTTTGGACTTAGGTGTATATCCGGATTTGGATTTGGAGGTCCGTAGGTTAATTTGATGCTTTTGGCAAAAGTTGAAAGATTGAAGATTTAGAAGGTTGATAGGTTTGACCGGGAGTTGACTTTATTAATATCGGATCCGAATTGTGCTTTCAGAAGTTGGTATAGGTTCGTTGTGTCATTTGGGACTTGCATGTAGATTTGGTATTGTTCGACATGAGTTTTAGAAGTTTAAAAGTTCATTAGGCTTGGATTGATTTGTGATTCATGGTTTTGATATTGTTTGGTGTGATTTGAAGCCTCGAGTAGGTTTGTGCTATGTTTTGGGAATGATTTGTGTAATTGGACGGGGTTCCGGAGGCATCAGATGTGTTTGGGTTGTGTCGCGCTCTTAGCATCGTTTCTTTGGGCATAAAGGGTACCATATTGAGAAAACGATATTTAATTTGTGATTAGCCTAAACCATTAGATCTGTATCGTAATTAAGGAACCATAGCAACAAGAATCGTCGAATTTCGAGGTCGTATGAGAGAGTTATATCCATTTCCGTGTCGAAAAAGATTGTTGGTTTCTGGTGCGAACTTTTGTTCTTCGTGAACGCGAGAGAGGTTCCGCGAACGCGAAGAAGGAAATTTGGGTTGACCTGTCAACACAAAAAAATTCTCTTCGCGAACACGAAGGTGTCCCGCAAAGGTGATAAAAATCACCTGGGTAGTGTTTTAAATGGGCATATCGAACATTTTAGTAATTTGAGTATATCTTGAGTTCTAGAGCTCCGTTTGAAGTAATTTTCGTGGCGTTGTTCTCGTCTCAACAAGAAGGTAAATATCCAACCTTTATTTTGATGTTTTCCATGATTATTTCTGTTGGTTATTATTTTTATTCATATTTGGATTGTAAAAATTAGGATTTTGAGCCCCAAAGTTGAGAAATGACAAATCTTTGATTTGAGAGTCAATTCATGGACGAAATTCGATGATTTTTTGGATATAAATTATATAAGTTATGGGTAATATATATTTTTGATAATTTTAAAAATCCTGGACGTGGTCCCTGTGGTTGACTATGTTAACTTTTCGAGCTAAGTTGGGAATTATTATAAATTATTAAATTACGAGTATTGGCATATATTTTGATTGGTTTACACGTTGTTTGATTAGTTTCGGATTGTTTGGCATCGATTTGAGGAGTTAGAGAGGCGTTGGAGCCGGTTATCGGATTTTGGAGCGAGGTAAGTCTCTCGTCTAACATTATGAGGGGGGATTTAGCTCATATGTGTTATTTATTATGTGCTATATGTTGTGGAAACTACGTACGTATGAGGTAATGAGTGTCCGTGTTTATACTAGAATTCCTGATTATGTCCGGGTAGACTTAGACTCACGCCATACTTTAATTATACTATTTGAGTTATTCTTGCCAATTTAAATGCTTTAATTTACATTTAGCTTGAGACTAGACTCGCATATAGTATCATACTTGCGATTTAAGATACTTGATGAGCTACTTGATTAGCCGTGAAAATTGTACTTTTCTTTACAGTTTC